TACAGTGGTAAATGACTACTATTTCCTGTTTTCCTCTCAGCTTTCAATTTTGTGCATGTGTAAGGTGATCTTATAACTCTTCCATCACTTCTCTCAAGTATTACGCTAGGAGCTAGGTTTTAAGCTTCTTACCTTAGAAGTCTCCTATCATTCACTAGTGCTAGCTAATCTGCACGTGCACCTTCAAAGTCAGGAAAGCTTGAGGATGGAATTCTTGATCTGGAATTGGTTCTAATTTCAGATGATCTTGAACTTTACTTGACACTTTTATACCCTTGCAACCCTACAGTACATCCATTGCTTGTGACCTTTCTGGCTGTATCTGGAAGCTAGAAGATTAGTTATTGCTTTAATCTGGTAACATCCAAAGTTAGTTTTAAAACTGATACACACTATCTCGATTTCAGCTATTTTCAGATAGGAGTGCCTATTGTTGCAGTTATGGCAGCAGGCTACTTGATTATTTGTCTGCTCGTTTGCTCCCTAATGCACTTTGTTTCTACCTTGCTTTTTGCTAACTGGTTTCTCTTGCTTTTGTGTTCTTGTTCATCACTGATTCTGTAAACAATTAATGTATTTATTTAAAGCTATAGCTTGTTTACAATGGAAATTAACTCTGCAACACAATTGAGCCATTCGTATGTGTATTTGTTACCTTTGCTTTTAGCCTTATGATCAAGAACATGCTTATGGTCCCTGGTGTGCTGTTTGTCCTCATTTATATGTAGGGGTGTGTGATAGTCTTGTAATTTTTTTTTTTAAGCTGATCTATAATACAATGTTATAGCAAGACAGTTGAGCAGGAATTCTGTAAAGAAACTACTTTCTTGTGCATTGAGCTTATAAATATTGATCACCTGGAATTAGCTTCCAGAGAAATATTAATTGTGATACTGGTGTTGCATAAGTAATTTTTGCATTTCTTTTTCTTTTTAACTTAGCCTAGAACAGGCAACACTTGCACCTCAGCAAGTTTACAGTGAATTAGGAAATGTTTTAGTTATGATTTTGATGCTAGCAGAACTTGCAAAATCAGTGTGCTGAATTTGTGTAGTTCTTATTTCATTATTTCTTTAAGAGCTTTATAGAGTCAGAGTTTAAATTGTGACCTTGGTGCGTGTGGCTTTTGCTTTGTTGGCATCCTTTAGAACTGTGGACAAATTCTATTTGTTAAGATGAAAATGCTTTTGTCCCAACTTCCCTACCTCCACTGATCAGAGTGAAGAGATAGAAGTGTATATTGAATAGTGGTGTTATCTGTTAAGACATTCAGCTTAATAAACAGACAGCAGAATGAGAACACCATGTTTCTTAAACAGTGCTAACCTTAGGATGACTAACTATTGGAGTTCTTGCTGACCTAGAAAAAGATAACAGTAGTTGCACATCTGTCCTTCAGCTCAAGTTCATAAAGATTCTAGAACACTGTAACATTGTAAAAAAAAAAAAAAAAAAAAAAAAAAAAAAAAAAAATCAAAAATCAGCTATTCAGTTTGATTTCTCAAGAATTATTTTATTTGCACTTGTTTGCTGTACATTGTTCTGTAACCTCTTTCCAACTATAGCCCTCTCTGTGACTTCATCTTAAAGGTCTGTTAGGATATGGAAACTTGGGATTAAAATTAAAACTTTACTTAAAAATTTTGAAGGCAATTGAAATAATGCTTTGGCATCCACTTGTTTCCTTTCATGTTCTTCCTTGATTGCACTGTTTCCCTGTGACTTTACCTGTACCAAAAATGCTATTTGTAAACTGATGCATACATACTGCAGATCTATGGTAGGATTTTTGTCTGTTTACCCCTGCCCCTACGTGTTTATTCTGCTGGGTTGTGATTTTTGAAGGCAGAGGACCTAGTATTTTCTAATTAAAACAAAGGTTACCAAGTTGCTACCATTCAGTGTGCTTCAATTCCTTTGACTGAGGGAGCAATCTTAATGAACATAGTCCTTTTCACTATTTCATGCCAATGAGTTGCAGCAGTTGCCACTGAGACAGGAATTTCTTCAGAAGAAAAGGGAAAAACAATGTATTGTTATACTTCTGTGTTTTGTTTGCAAGACTATCTTCACTACTGTCTTCCTGTGTTGTTTTAATGGCTGCTTTTTTGTGTTTGTATAGTAGTATACCTTCATATTAATCTTCTCCCAGTTTTATTACTTATGACTCTGTACCACTTGTTCCGTGTTGAGCACCACAAACAAAATCCATATCTAACAAAACCTCGCTCTTTAGCAAGTGTTTTCTTAAGTGCTTATTTGCCAATATGCGATTAGACCTGAATGTATTACATAATATTAATTCTGATGCTTGTTTAGAAATCAACAAAGTAAAAATGTTTCTCCATAGTTCTCAGCAATTTTTTATCATTGACTTGTAAGCCATTAATAATGGGCAGTGATCATACGTTGGGGGACTGAGAAGAAATCTGCGGTTAGGCCAATTTTTGTTTATTAGAAATAACAAATCACGTTTTATTTTTAATTGATGCATCTTGAATCTTTTCTAACACAATGTTGAAATGCCAGAAATTATTGCTGCTATATCGGTGTTTTTCCACTCTCCTAATTCCAGTTTAAAGAAAAATAAATTATAATAAAAAAATCATTGTATGTCTTTGAAAGAATGACTAGGGGTGACATGAGTCATTTTATAATGGCTATGGCTTATGTGTAGAGAATAGTTGTTCTGTTGATTTTTTGACTTAATATAGTTGCAGCTTTAGGGGTATCACTAGCCTTATGGTCAAGGAGGGCTTCCTTAGTCCAGTAAGAAGAATGAGTTCAATTCCCTGCCGTCTTCTTTTTCTATGGTGGAAAACTTTCCTGAGGAGAAATTAACTGACTTCCCCTATAGTATGCTAAGCTGGTGGGGAAAAAAACATATAATTACAGAAAATAATATCTTCAGGATTTATGTTGTGATTTTTTTGTTTGTTTGTTTGTTTCTAGTTTTGGGACCATGTATCCCTTCATTTATTTTAAAAAGAATTTTATTTATTACATAGTTCAAAACACAAGCTGGAAACTTTGTTTTGGTTTTATATAATTGATCCTAAGATGTAACAGGAACATGAACTATCTCAATTTAGAAATACAGATTTTAGTGATAGAATAGTCTTTTTTTAAGTAGAATTTCTGGGATGTATCCTATATTTATTGATTAACTGCTTGAATGCCATGTTTGGAGGATATCTGGTTGAACCTCCTTAAATGAAGGAGGTGCAGTTATCTCTGGTGCTGAGGCTTGCTCAGTTGACTTGCAATATCTTCACAACCTCTTTGGAAACTTACTCTACATATTTGACCATGCTTGTGTTCTCTTACCCTTTATCTTTTTCTTTTTTTTTTTTCCTTTTTTTTTTTATTCTTTTAAGTTATTATACGTAGCTAAATTTTCCAATGTTTCCAGCCTGTAGCATTGCAGGGGATTATTTTACTTGAAGCACAGGACTTTTTCTTTGCATCTACTGAACTTAAGTTCTTTTGTTTCTAAGTTTATCTGATAGTGTTGGCCCTGATGTTCGCCTGTGGGGATATCAGTAGCAATTGGTGCCCACTTGGAGTTTTTCTGTCCAGCTTGGTGGGAAACCTTGCTAATGACAAGGTGCACAATGTCCACTGATTAAACCTTGTCCACACAGGTAGTCATCTTTTCGCAGAGAGCAGTTGAGTTTGTCAGATGTCGTTTGCACCTTGTAAATCCATGTTACTGTTCTCAGTAATCTTTCTGCCCTTCGTGTGTTTAGAAATGGCTTCCAGAAAAACTGTTCTTACTGACTTTCTCAGGGACTAAGGCTAGATTGACAGCCAGGAGCTTCTTCTTTCTTAAAGACAGGGCTACAATGATCTTTCTGTAGTCATTGGGAACAGACACTAATCGCTAAATGCTTTAGCCTTGATGTGTGCAAGTCTGCAAACAGAATGTTGCTGTATCCTAGTACAAGATGTAATGGGGAAAATACAGTGCAAATATAATACTGAGTTCAGGCAATGTTCTCAAGGCTTTGGATTAGTAGAATGTATTTCGTGCCATTGTCAGACTGAATGAGCTTATTCAGATGGTAATCTGTGAAGATGAACTTGCATCATTTTTCTTGTAGGTAGTGTCCATTGTTTGAGAAGATTATATATTGTGGAAATATACAGTATGCAAATAGGCATTTGATATTACTTGTAATTCAAGTATAGCAAGTGCTTTTTAGGGACCTTCTGAATTTCAAGAAACTGTTGTTGGCTTTGCTCGCGCGTTCGAGCTTCAGATTGTTTCAGTCATATTCAAGGCCTTAACATTTCTCTTGAAGTATACAGTAGTTCAAGTTTTATCACTTCAAATAAGATGCAGCTGAGTAATGTGGTATGAATGTGTCTGGGGTTTTTCTAATTTCTTCTGTTGGTTATATTTAGGAGAAGCTGATTTCATTTGTATTGCTTCAGTTAAACTGAAATAGTTGATTAGATGGAAAAATAGGTGAAGCCAAATCCCTTAATGTTTGCTTTGCTTCCACAAGTCCTATACTGTTAATACTCAGTTGTCCTTGTCCTGCTGTTAGTGGTTATTGTAGCCTAACCCTCAGCACTCTTATCACTGAAGTGGCTGATCTGCAAATAGAATGTCTTGCATGAAAATGTGTGTTTTGTCTGTCCTTAGCTTCATCTGCAGCTTTGTGTGTGTAAGAAAACAGCCACCAAATGTTTTTCACTTTGCTTTTGTTATGTAATTTGGGATTTGGCATGACAAAAGAACTATATGTCCTTTTTTTGAAAGCAGTTTGTGCTTGACAATTGCTTTATTAAATGTTGTTTGGTCTAAAAGTTTTTTGTTCCAGTTATCAGAACAAGAATTGAATCATAATTGTTTTGTTGGGTTTTTTTTGAGTATGTTCAAAGAGTTCTGAAGGAGCTGGTGCCTTTCCCAGTACGAACTTTTTGACAATTTGAAAAACATTTTTTCATGTATTCCTTCTCTTTGTTCTTTACTTTTTTTTTTTCTCCTAAAGCTGTTGAGGTACACACTGGATAAGAATGGTCTGCAGCAGGTGAGGATCATAGCCAGCGATAGACTGTGGGAGCCCATTTCCTTTGTCTTGCTGATTGACTCTGAGCTCCACGAAGTGGTCGATGTCATTGGGTAGGGGGTTCTCCTTTTATCTTTCTTGCTGGTTTATTCACAACTTGTCTTTATTTTGCTTGTTTATAAATAGCACAGCCAAAGCTGTACCTCTGTACTGTTATGGGTTTGATGCTGTGGATTTGATGCTGTAGTCTTTCTCACTAACCTACATCAAGTGGTTTAGTAAGACCCAGTCTGTTCGAGAGCTCAAATGCTAGCCTGATTGCAGCTTAAGACTTTTAACTGAATCATGAGTTTCCTATAGTGTGCAAGACTCTCATTTGCTGTGACTGCACTTTTGTTGATTTGAATGGGTTTTAGTAAAATCTTTTTACCCTGAAGCTTGCTTCAGTTCCTATATTTATATATAAAAAGTGCTTTAAATTTACAGCTTTATGTGCAGCCTTGTATTTACTGACTTCCAACACTCTGCTGTTAGAGAAATTAATGTGATCCAGAAACTAAATGAAGCTTTTACTTTTTTGTTACAATAATGTCTTGGTTCTCAGATCCCATTTTGTTATGATTGAAGTTGTATGCTTCCCAAGCATTAAACTGACTGACTTGTTTTTCCAGTTCTTGTTTTCATCACTTGGTGGTCATGTTTTGCAAAGGTAGACTAAATTTGATTACTGACTTCTGCATAAAAACACGTAAGATCTGGTCATTAACTTTTATTGTAACTCTAGATTTTAATTATGATGTTATGTAGACTTGGCTGACCCAATCACATTTCTCAGACATGGCTGTTCCTGCTTCAACTTGAGTCTTTCTTGTTCAACCTATGGGACATGTAGAAATGAAGTCTTTCCTTCCAAACATAGATAGGAGTCAGTGCCCTGGAAAAATCAACCCCTCCTCTCATTCTGAAAAAGAAGTATCCTAATAATTTCTTGCAGATCCACAAGAGGGTCAATAAGTGAAAGCAATTACCAACTCTCTGACAGGTACAAATCTGTAGCTGTCATGATGCCAGCATTTTGATACGGATTCCTTTCTTGGCAACAGCAAACATGCACTCAGTGTCAGTTCCTGAAGCTTAACTGTTTTCATGCCAGTAAACCATAGTTGCTTTAGTCTTTGTGAGAGATCTAAGTTTTATAGTCCCTACTCTGATTCAGTCTTAGTAGGAAGCTGAAATAGACTTATGTAATAGATAATCAGCTGGCTTATGGGCTGATGGGAAACATGCTTCAGTGGTGCATTTTTCGTCATAGAAATATTGTTAAGATTCTTTCTAACTTGAAACTACACACACAAAAAAAATCAGCCACTGTAATTTTTGAGCTGGGGAAGGGGGGATATTTTTTAAAGATGGACTTACAAATTCTGCACTAATTCTTAGTACTTCAGATGTAGTACTTGTTTATAACATGTTTTATATAAAGTTAGAGACCAAGTTATTCAGACTCTCCATGTTGAAAAGTTTTCCCTATCTTCCTGCAGTTTGTTGAGAGGAAACAAAATTGTTATAGATCATCAGTAAGTATAACAGAAAATTTCATTTTTCACTTGAGTTCAGAACACCATCAGATGACAAGTCTTGTCACTTTGGTTAAAAGTATCAGTGTTCTTAAGCAGACCTGATTTAAATATGCATTTAGTTTAACATAGGTGTCACAGAAGCCAAGGCTTTTGTAGAATTTTTTCAAAACCTTATTATGCACAAATTAATAATCTAGGAGTAACATGGCAACGTTATGTTTTTCCATGGTGTGATACTTGTAATAGCAGGAATTGGAACTGTCCCAAGTACTTTCAGGCCAGAGTTAGCATGAAAAGTAGGAAAATAAGTGTTGCTAGCTGGCAAATTTTCTAGAGATGTTGGGTACTTGATTTTCAGGTTTTTGCAGGTACTGCTTTTCTGCAAAGCTTTATAGCAGTGAGAGTGTTTATATAGTTGTGGTTTTATTTTTTTTCCATTTTAGTCTAATTTCTGGGTTCTTGTACTGGTGCGTAAGAGGAAAAACAGTGGAACAATCTATTTCTCTACTGATCTTTTTTCTTCCCTTCTCTTCTTCAGCACGCTGCTGTATGCAAAATAAAAGATACTGCAAAGGCTTTTATTTTCTTAAGAAAAAAATCACTGTAGGCAGTTATGTGATGCAATCACGTAAGCCTTTAAGTAAATAAGTTTTTCATAATGTTACTTGTACACCAATTTAATGCAGCTGCTCTTCACAGGACATGTGAGTTTTTCCACATGAGGTATATTGCTTCATCATCTGCTATATAAAACACGTCTAATCTGATAAGACTTTTAAAAATTGTTACCACTTGTTATTGAACAATTAGAGGCCCTGGTAATAAGCCACTGTTAAGATATGAAAGTTGAAAACAAAAAATAGCCATTATGTGCATTTATTTAAAATAAAAATAAAATGAAGCATCTGTTTTCTCTTTTCTCTGGCTCCAGGAAACTGAAAGGAGAATCAAATGATGAAAATATATTATTAAACTACTTTAAGTAAATAGCAGTGGTTTGAAAAATGTGAGCACTGATAGTAAAACTTAGTAAATTTTTTTTTTCTGGTAGGAAGCTTAAGCCTATGGCTTCATTGTAATTGTGTTCCTACTATTCCTCTTATTATCTCCATTAAGATTCATTGTTTTTCATCTTTTTTATGGTATGTGTTACTTTTTTTGCTCCCTCTATGAAACAGTCTTCTGTTATAGTATGCCTAGTTTCCTGCTCTTTTGGGCAAAGAATCCAAAATCCCACTACTTCTATTGAAGCATCATATCTATAAGGATGAAGCGTAAGTGCCCTGTTACAGTTCATCTTCTTGGACAGTGGTAAGAGTAGGTGTTTAGGAGTCTTGTTTTCCTGAAGATGCTAGTGGTCCTTAAATTGATCAATTACTTTATGTATCCATTATTCTCTGGTGCCATAAAAAGGTTGTTTTCACTGTCAAAGGAGTAAGACCTATTGTTCTGGCTACAGCTTTTCTCCTTTATTTTGCTGGTTGTTAATTGCTGAGGCTGTAGAGTGGCACCAGATATCCAAAATAATGTTTTAGCCTAGTCTTGTTTGTTGTGTTGTTTGTTTGTTTTAATTTACAATTAATTCAACAAATCAACACTTACCCTTGTGAAAGTTTGCACTGTAAATGGATAGCAAATGTTGACTCTGTTCATTTGGGTTGGTCTTGAAGTAGATATGCTACAGTGCTTTTAAGTCTTTTAAAAATAATTTATTTACTTTTTAAAAACGAATGTAGTTTTTTGTATGGATTGAAAATAACTTATTAATTACATCCTACTTCATTAGAACTAGTTTAGGCATTAAGGTAAAAATCATCTTGTTTAACAGCTGTGTCTGAGTAAAATGCAAGTACAGTGTAAATCATGTTCATTAATAGTAATTGGAAGTATGTCTAAGAGCAGAGAAAAAGGATAAATTTCATAACTGATGGTGACACTGTTTTACCTGCTTGCAGATGGGACAAAAAATGAATGTTATTAACAAGTGGGTTTTGAATGAAGCAAAGATACTGCTTATAGTTTTTATTTGGCAGAGATATTGACAACATTTAAAAAAAAAGATTTGCAGGACATGAAGTGTAGAAGTGCAGATCTATTCCTTCTTTACATTGTCTTTGCTAGCTTCATGCCATTACAAAAACCTTCGCTCAGTACTAAGGTATTACTTGTGCTTCCAAGCCAAAGGGAAAATGTATGCCATCCTGCACAGCAGAGGCAAGGATATAGCTGAAGTCTCTACTGTATGTTATGTTACCACTAGTGAAGCTAAGTACAAATGACTACAACTCTGGGAAATTGCCTGTTTTTGAATAGAGGGGAAAATAATTGAAACCAGCCATCAGAAAGATGAATAGAAATAGCCATAGAAATACCTCTGTTATCTTTTATTATTTATTCCTGACTCATGAATTAATTACATTTGTCAAGTTTTAGCCCATTAGTAAAAAAAAAAAAAAAAAAAAAAAGCCCAAGACTTAGCTTGTATTTAAAGTTTTAGCGTGTATTTAGTGTGTTCAGTGGGCCCAAACCGAGAGGAATGATGGATTTCTGCAAGTGTTTTACGAGATTTTATTTCAGCCAGAATAATTTGCCACATTGAATCAGTGTTGTGATTGAATATGACCAGTAGTCTTTATGTGGGAGAACGTATCTGTGCTCATACTAAGGAAGGTCTTGTGCAGAAAACTAGCTTTCATTATGTTTCAGTTGTTTTCAGTTTACACCTCTTAGCTCTTACGGTCCACTCAGCATGCGTTCTTGAAACCTGAGCTTATTAGAAATGTGTGCAAGAGCCAAGTTCACGTTTAGCTGCTAAGATTTAAATGCAGCAGTGTTTGTAATCTCCTGTGCTGTATCTTACTGTTAATTTATAATTATTTAAAAGTTTGGCTAAGACCCTGTCAGATAACTTGTAAAAGTAACTGTAATATGCTACCAAGGTCAGAAGGTCAATTTCAAGATAAAGCTTTACTTTAGCAAGCTGCAGCAATTACATGACGTATTTAAGCCTAGGTTTACTTAGGTTGATATGTTTTAAAGAAGTAATCTTGAACTGATGGTAATGCAGCAAGCTGTGGTATATTACAGATTTCTCTGTAGTACAAGTTTTCTATTCTATTAGAATTATTCTAAAGCAAGTTTGTTTTTAACTTTCATTTTGGAGGAGAGCAATTAAGCCTGGAAATACAAACAGCAGCAATGAATTTTCTTTTTGTGATAAGCACTCTTTCTTTTTAAAATATTGTGTAGGGCTCACTATCCTGGGACAAAAACAGTGCCAAATGCCTTACTGACTCAGAAGAAACTGTGGGCTTCGGAAGATTATAGTACTTTCAACGATGACGTAGGTGCAGGCTGTTGGGCTCGGATCCTAAACCAAAACTATGTGAATGGAAACATGACCTCGTAAGTATTGTGCATTGCTGATAGCTTTTAGAACTTCATTTGTAAGGATTATCTAAAGTACCACGTAACACATCCATCTGCTATGTTAAAACTGTAGATAAACTCTTTTCTCCGTCAGTCTGAATTCAGATAGTCTGAGATGTGAAGACTACTGTACTTAACCACTTGGAGAAAAAATTTTGTGGCAGCTGTAAGGCATTTCTGAGTTACAGTTTCATGTGGGCCTATGCAGCTGAGTTCAGATCTTTTAGTTTCTGATGATACTTTTCAAAGTAATTCTTCTTAAGAAGAACTAACATGAAAACCCAGGAGGAAAATAACAATGAAGTTAACCTAGCTGAATATTTCTCAGGGTCTCTATCAGTTATTTATCTTTAGTTAAAGGTAATAGGTGTAAGGATTTTATTATCTGTTGTTTTCTGTACAACATCTTTCTGAGGATCCATTCTAAAATTTGCTGTAATCTTTTGATATCTTCATTAACTTCTGTATGTTTTCTTGCCAAATTGAAATACGGAAGAAAGTTATTGGGAAATTAGGTAAATCAGTTTTAAAACGGAATAGGACACATACTTTGTTTTCAGTGAAAAGCTAAAAATGAAAGCATCAATATTTAGGCAAAATCACTTTCAAGGCTTTTAGCTTTTATGTAACTTCATTTTGGGTTAATAAAGATAAATGTTTTTACCTGAAATACTTGAAACAAAGCACAGCAGCAAGCACCTGCATGCTCATAAAGGGAAATTCAAGTTGACTATCTTCTGTGAATCTTGTTTTGAGCAAATTTAAAGTTTTAACATATTGGCTATGTGAATTCCTATCACTCATGTCCTTTAGTATCTGTGGGGTTATTTCTGCCTTATTCCTGTTCTCTTCTTTTTACGAGCCCTTTGCAATTGTATAAGCCCCATTTGATTAGCAATGTGGTAACCAGATCATATATTCAGAAATTATTATCAAAAAGATCAAAGTCTGTAAATTCAATACTGCTTTCATTTCAGCTTTTATACTGAAAATCAGTGCTTCCTAATGAAATGAATTTATTTATTAGCAAAAATATAAACCTTCTTTCCTTGAAGTTTGAGTTCCTTCCATTATGGTTGTTTTATATTGAATTTATGCAGAACTTTATCTTGAGGAAGCTGCTGAGTTGAAAATCTTGTTGAGGGTTTTTTTCTGAGCACATTTTTAGAGGAATTTATAATCTTTCCTGAAATGCATATATCCTGTAATAGATAAGTCTTAAGTAATAACTTCAGAACATGAGCCTTTTGTGCTCATCTGTGTACAAATGGGTTATTTCATGCCAGCTTTTGTTTCCTATAGAACTCCTTTCATAAACTGTATTTGCATACCTATGGCTGCACGGACTTTAAGTTTAAGGTCCTAGCATGAGATTGCTTTGAAGAACAAATCAGAAGACCTAAAAAGAATTGACCGTGTCGGTGTCCCAATAAATTCTCAAAATAAATCCTGGAAGATGGCTGGTTAGGGTTATATTACATTCTTTATGTGTGCAGAAAAGACTGTTAATATTTCTCACTGGTGCTTAAAAAGCAAACAAATGCAAGCCCATCAAAAGATCATCACCACCAATCACAAAGCTAATAAAAAAAAAATTGTGAAGCATCAGAACTTCTACTATTTTTCTCCCTACTGATTTGGTTAGGAAGTATGGATGGAGTCTTTAATCCTCAGGTGCACATTTCCTTTAATGTGCAGCTTTTAATGGTGATACAACCAGAGGATGTATTGTGTTTTGTTTTAGTTTTTTCTAATGAAGTTCTCAACTCTGGAAATTGATTCTTTTTCTCTCTGCTTTTGATTTACCATCATTTTGCTTTTTTTGGAGGTGGCTCTGGAAGGGGTTGCTTGTATTCTCTCTCCTTTTAGCTGGGAAAATTCTTTTAGTGTTGAAATACTTCTTTATTTTATTTCATTTTATTTTTTACTGTGAGCTAGGAAGCTGTTTTTTCACTGTGTGTTGGAGGAAAAAAGCAGAGTAAATTCTTGTTTTAACTTGATCTAATGCTATTCATATGAATAATCAGCTAAACAAACTTTTTTTTTTTTTTTTTTTTTCCCAGAACTATTGCATGGAACTTAGTGGCAAGTTATTATGAAGAATTGCCCTTTGGTCGATGTGGTTTGATGACAGCACAAGAACCATGGAGTGGCCACTATAAAGTAGAAGCACCTATTTGGATTACAGGTTAAAAAAAAAAAAAAAAAGTTTCCATAATAGTATTGTGAGAGTCTTTTTTCTATGTGTGTTATTTTTTGTACTACATTGAAGTGGTACAAAAACACATTGAAGCTTCATGGAATGTCTTTTAAATTCTTAAAAGAATTTAAAGGCTTATTTCAGTAGGAAGCAGAAAGATCTTATAAGGAGGCAAATTTGACCATTAGGTTATATGCAGAAATAAACTGCTGCTTTTTACAGCTATCACTATTAAACTATTTTGTTCTGAAGTGCCTGTAGAGGTTAGTGTACTTTCCTAGTTCTTTTTGCTTCACTTTTTTTATTTTATCCTAAATTAGACATCTGATACCTTTCAATTTGAGAAAATAGAATGAAGAACATATATAGTCTTGTACTACTTGAGGTTCTTGGCCTCTATGATTCATCATTTCTTTGCACATAGGAAAATGGAAATACTTTTATTCTGTGTTGTCTGAAAACAGGGTGGCTACTCAGTAGTTCTTCTGTAGTCTTTACTGTCTTTGCCACAGAGCAGATGGCATGTACTGAGCCATTAAGGAAGATCGAGGCAAATGTCTTAATGTTTATACTTCTGCTAGTTGCCCAGCATTAGGAAAAAAAAATGGCTATAGTGTCATCTGAAAAGTTTGGAATACCTGAGCTGATTTTCTTTTTTCCATGTTGCTTAGTCGTACACTTATTGTAACGTCTTACACTTGGCAGTTACTTATGCTGAAAAAAACCCCTACCTCATGTAGTTGATTATTCCTTGAGGAGAAGCTCTTCTGTACTTTTTCTGACTTGATTGTTTTCTCTGCCACAGAACAGATGTTTTAAAATGTGTTTTGGTTTAATTCTGTAAGCTTTCGTATGGGTAGAATTTGCTTTGAAATTCCGTTACTTCATTTTGGGAATTTTCATATATTAAATTATAGTTATCTTTATTAAGATTTAATTACTTTCTTATGATTTTCTGTTCCATCTCAGCGCACACAACGCAATTTACACAACCAGGATGGTCCTACTTGCAGGTGGATGGACACTTAGAAGGAGGTGGAAGCTTTGTAGCTCTGACAGACGGCCTAGGAAACCTTACAATAATAATTGAAACTATGGTAATGTACATCAACAGAAGTAGAATAAATAAAGGAAATATTTTGTTACAAAGTGGCTGCTTCAATTTATGCCATGTCTGCAAATATCCTCTATAATGCTTGTGTAGCTTCATTACTGAGACCACCAGAAATACTTTTTTTTTTCTATCTAAACATTGTGTAATCATTATATCACAAACTTATTTGATGACACTCTGTGAGAAATTGAAACTGTGTTTTTTTTAAAGCTGAGTTAAAAATATTATAGTTTGTGCAATAGCAATCATCATTAAGATAGTGAAATAAATATTTACAAATTAATCCTGTATTGCTTTTTATAGTTAGTACTATGTTTTTCTTGAACACTGTCATCTGATAGATTCCAGTAATGTATATTCCTTTCTTTCTTTCCTTTCTTCAGACACACAATCACTCTAAATGTATCAGACCTCCACTGCCTCACTTCCGAGTTTCACCTCAGCGAGCAACTTTCTACCTCAGAGGGTCTTTTGTAAGTAGGCATTAAATACATTTGGTCACTTTTGTAATGTGAATTGCACTGCATCTTGTGTGTACACACAAACTATGACAAGATGTCAAGATATCAGAATTGTTCATCTCCTGTGATAGAGGTTATATGCCTGCTGAACTTTTAAATTTGCTTTTTTACCATAAGACACAATGTCAAAACTGAATTTGTATTATTACTACCTTCCAATGTATTTGTGTATATTGAAGAAAAAATTGCTGGAACAGAGATACAATTTGGTTTGTCATTAGGATTTATTCTGCAGCTACTGCTCTGAAGTGCTGATACAGTTTGGCTGGCATGGTCATGACCTTTCTAGCTGTCATCAGTTGCTTTCCAGGGAAAGCAACTAGATGATGCAGCTGACTATATGACACAGGTTTTGTTTTTCTGTCCCAGCAAAAGATATTCTGAGAATCTCCATGTTTTGTATTAGAGTATTCTGTTCATATTAGTAGTATTACTGTGTTATTAGGATAATGGCTTACTGATACATGTAGATTGCTCTGAAAGTAAAGTCTCCTATTTATTTCCATGGAAACCACAACATATAAAACAAAGAGCACAATAACAGAACACAACTCGATAGAGCAAATTCTCAGCTTCAGAACACTATTTTTCAATGTAGTCATCACCATTAGCTATACATTTCTATCAGCTGTGATCAATAGATTTCATGCTGTGCTTGTAATAATCTGCATGGTTCTCTGGGTGGCTTGTCTTTCATGTTGTTCATGTTGCTGCTGCTGAAATATACCATCCACCACCTCACTGTGCTCACATCAACTGTTTGGTGTACTCATAAGCATTCAGCAAGCATCAGTGGGCCAATGTAATATAGTAGGAAGCATTACTTTTGAATCAGCCCTTGCATAGTTAAGAAAAGGTAAGGTTTGTAATGGCTATCTGAGTTAATTGGTGGCTGCTGATGAGATCAGCAATTCTACAATAACAAAAGTTAGACACTGATAGTTTTCAAAGCCAAAGTAAAATTGTTGTTGTGTTGGTTGTTTTTTTTTCTTTTTTTTAATTTAATGCTATGTTTCATTGCAGTATTTCCTGAAAACGCTTCAGGTGTGGCACTCTAAGCTTGGTTTTGAATCTGCAAACTCTAGTCTTTTTGAGCAACTTCATCCTGTAAAGGTAAGTTGATCAGTTTTAATACTCTATTGTAACTTCTTTGAATTGGTATTGCAAAATAAAATTAAAATAAAATTACTTCAATTTACAAAATATTTGCAAAGTAAGAAATGGAATCCCACACATCAAAATAATCTAAGGTAACTTTTCAGAGAAGCTTTATGGTCTTCAGGGTGAATTCATGAAGATAAGCATTCATTAGGCTGGTAGTACAAATTGTTTTGTAAGTCTGAAACGTTGCAGCATTTCAATAGGTATGTGCTTTGAGAGTAATGATTTAAGTGGTTCTAGTGTGATAATGAAGAATGTGGATGTCCTTTTTTCAGTTTTTGGGCCCACTTTACTACATTTTCAACCTATACATTTGATTTTCAACCTATACATTTGATTTTCAACCTATACATTTGAATTACAGTGAAATGTTTGCATAGTGTACCTCAGCGTTGTTTGTTGTGCTTATGCTAACTTATACTCTGCTGAGTGTTAAAAGTAGTCTGGTTTAGCAATTTTGTTCCTGCTACAGAAGGATTTGCAGGATGATATCTATAGTATTTATGTGGCCTAAAGGTGATAACCTTCCAGCTTTCTGGCCTCTCTACCTGTATTCTTTTCCAAGACTTTGGGAATTATGTGCTCACTGGGTGCGTTTATAATAAATATTTTTTAGAAGAGAACCTTTGAGATCTTTTTTTTTTTTTTTTTTTGTACTACCCTAAATATGAGAATGTGAGAATGTGGGATATTCAACACAAACTGATTTCTGTTAAAGCAGCCTTTCTCAAAAACAGAGCATTGTATGTACTGTGACTTAAATCTTGCCCTCGAAGGAGTATTCTAGTACTCTCTGTAGTTTCAGGTGTGTGTTTTCCCCCATTCCTGGAACTGCTGCACTTCTGTGCTTCAACTGTATATTTCAGGTGTGCTTTATTAGCTCTCTTTGACTAAAGTTTTACTAGCTGTATACAAACTTACCTGGAAGCAATGAAAACTTGAGGGTATTAAATGTTGAGGCAATTTTTGCCTTAAATCGAACTTTAGAGGATATCCTTGAACTCAGAAGCTTGGATTTTTTTTATGTTGCAATTTGATTTTTGCGACTTGAACTTTCTTTTAATTCCAGATCTGGAGGGGAAGTTTTTCTTTAGACCTAGATGTGGATGAAGTCTATACTTTAACTACACTTAAGACAGGACGGAAGTGTAGCTGCCCAGAGCCTCCACCACCTCAACCCTTTCCTTCAAATTACAAAGATGACTTTAATATTCGTAAGTCAGAAATCTCTTATCAAAAGTTTAATTCTCATACAGATATAGTCTCACTGTAGAAAGGCCGTAACAGTTGTGGTATTTGAGTCATCTGATGTAGAACACATGAAGTAATTTGAATGTTTCATTATTTTTCTCTGATTATTTGTGTATGTATACCTCAGTTCCAAGACAGCTAATTTTATTCTAGCTCTTAACTAAGTGACTGCTACAGTTTTAAAATTCTTGATGCGAAGTTGTATCTCAACTGTAGTGAACTACTTTTTTAAGGGAATGTAAAAAGAATTGAACACCTCCCCTGTGAGGATAGGCTGAGAGAGCTGGGGCTCTTCAGCCTCGATGAGAGATTGTCTCTGGAGACCTGATAGCAGCCTTTCAGTATTTAAAGGAGGTCTGTTACAAGGAAAGAGACAGACTCTTTATCGTGATCTGTGGTGACAGGATCTGGAGAAATGGTTTCAAACTAAGAGAGGGAAGATTTAGGCTGGATACCAAGAAACCTGGAGATCCTCAAAGTCAGGTTGGACCAGGCTCTGCGCAACCTGTTCTAGCTGTAAGTGTCCTTGTTTTTTTTGCAGGGCAGCTTGACTAGATGACCTTTAAAAGGTCACTTCCAGCTCAAACACCAGCCCAAACAATTCCACGATTACATTAAAAGAAAAAAAAAAAAAAAAAAAAAAGAAACTTTGTATATTTATAAAAATGGTCCTGCTTCCAACTTCTAAAACTTGATTTTGCGTATTTTTCTAGTATAAAAGACTACTTTGATACAATAAGGCAGAAGCCTGGAGGGTAGCTTCAGAGGAAATCTCTGACATCAAGGTCCACAAAAGAAAAATAAATGTTTTGGTGCTGACATTTTATTCTCTGAACAGGTAATCCACCTTTCAGCGAAGCTCCAAACTTTGCAGATCAGACGGGTGTGTTTGAGTACTTCGTAAATGGCTCTGACCCAGGAGATCATGTTTTCACACTCCGACAGGTGGTGATTCAGCGACCCATCACTTGGGTTTCTGATGCAGACCAGACAATCAGCATCATAGGAAACTTTCAGTGGTATGTAAATACTACTTTTTGTTGACATCTGAGGAAAGGGTGTCCTTAATAGTTTGAATTATTATTTGTTGGTCTCTTTCATTTGTCTTATTCAGTGCAAGAGAAATATAGAGAAATGTTTTTACCTTCAACCAGTCTGTAGTCATGTAGAAATGATGATTAAAGAGACTTAAGTTCTTGAGCCCTGCATGGTGCTATTACCATCACTATTAAAAGGTCAGGTCAACAAGACCTTATTTAAACAAGTCTTGAAAACATCCAAAGATGAAGATTTCATTTCATCTCCTAGTGGTCCACTGCCTTGGGAAAAGATTTCTTAGACTCCTATGGGGCACATTTATTCAAGCTACTTTTTGGAATAATTATGTGAGATGGCTCACTAGGAAGACTAAGTTAAAATAGCACTAACAAAAAAGCAGGATCTGAATTTTGAAGTGTGCACAGATATTTTTTTTTTCCCCACTGTTTTTAAAAGAGACAAAAAGTTGATTCAATTTATTTTACTTGATTTTGAATTGTTGCTTGATCATTACTAATTTGATCTATCTCATGTTGTGATAGTTTGGGAGTTAATTCTGTTATATTTGTTGCAGACTGCCATCTTCTGAGCAGTTCCTAGAATTGTGTATATTTAATTTACCTACTGCTTAGAACAGTTGTATTCTTGGGTAGATGTAGCAAAGATTTACTAGAGTACAGTTATCATTCATTCTAGGAGGTATAGTGGTGATAGTTTTGAATGAAGCAGTATATCTTTCAAGCTACGGCAGGGGAGATTCAGGCTGGACATGAGGAAGTATTACTTTTCAGAAAGGGTGGTCAGGCACTGGAATGGACTGCCCAGGGAGGTGGTGGAGTCACCGACCCTGGGGGTGTTCAAGGAAAGGGTTTGATGTTGTGTTGTGATCTTTTAGGTCTTTTCCAACCTTGGTGATTCTATGATTCTATCATTCTATGGTCTTAGCATAATATTGAAATTTAAAAAGTATTTGGATAAGAACCTGTTGAATAATTGGCTTAGTAACAGTAGTTAATAAACTTAAGCATTAAGTTTGATTTATTATTTTTACGATTTGGAAGAGACTTTAATTCTTTTTAGAGAACGTATCAAATAACTGTTTTGTCTGTTTTTTCACTGTTATCAGGTCAGTGATGCTTTTTTAGAACATGTATTATGATTCTTGTTTCTGGCCTTGACGAGTTATTGAATCATTTTGCTTTGAAGCCTATAAGCACACCACTGTCTTGTAGCTGAAGGTTGTTTTTGAGTTTCTAGATGTGTACTTTTGCAGTCCTGTATTAAAGCTTCGTGTTTTCCCCTATAACCAGCTTCCCCTCATTGAGCCAGTCATATCTCATGATCTATGTAACAGATAGTACACTTAAATTACTGCACTGAAATCTCCAGAAACTTCCCACTTCATTTTGGTTCTATTTTTTTTCTGGATTAGTGTCTTTTCAAAATAAAGCTTGTTTCTTGAATATTCAACTGATTATTGAAGCTTTACTCACCTCTTAACTTTTATAAGGAAAATTTTCAAGTTCAGGTCCAGTTTGCCTGATCTTTTCTTGGGTACATGTTTTCAACTATTAATGCACAATATAAAAATATTAAACTAAATTTGCTCTGAATTTCTGAGATGTTTTCGTTTCAGTTATCAATAGCAATTCTTTAATTTCACTCAAGAGTTTAGTTGGTTTTAATTCGGATTTTAATTTTGTGAAAGTTTATGTAGCTACTCTGAAATTTTTTGTTTTGCTCTGATGAAGCATGAAGCTAGGTTCAAACCTAGCTGCATGCTGTAATTATTGATATTTAATACGCTTTGCTCCCAGTGTTATTATAATATTGTGAAAAATGTGGGGGTCTTGTGTTTAATACAAAGGAAGATAAGAAAGGTCTTAAATGACTTGTCTAATGAAAATGTATCCAATAAACTGATGCTTAAGCAGTAAGAAAAAAATCTTAATTCTGATGCAAGAGATGGAGGAGAAGACTACCATAAATACATATTATTGATTTATCTGTAAGCTGAGGTTATACAGGAGTTTTTCACACACTTAAAAAAAACAAAACCTATGTATAGCTGGAAACTTTCTTTATATATGACCTTTTGACTGTATCCATACTAGCAACAGTTCATTACAAGTAACTTAAGATAAGGAATGTAGGTACTGAATTTCTTGAGCAAGCATTAATAGGGTTGGTTAATTTTTACTTGTGAGAGGCTTGTACTGCAGTCTGAGGAGTGGAGGGGTATTAAGTAAATTTTCTAAGTGCTATCAAATTATTCTGGTATTTCTTTGCCTGATGGTAGGTTATTTTCCTTAACAGTTGTAATTAAATGTATAATGTGGTACTTCACAGTTGAGATGAAGTATTACCTCAGGAAAAAAATCAGATAATTTCAGCCTGTTAAAACACACTGTTTCTCTTACAGGGTAAATCTGACAGTCACTTGTGACATCTACATAGAAAAGCCACTTGATGGGGGTGTGTTCATTGCTGGAAGAGTAGACAATGGTGGGATATATGTTCGTCGTACCAAAGGAGTTTTCTTCTGGGTTTATGCAGATGGCACCTACAGAGTCACTGGTGACCTAGGTAAGAAGCCCTTTCCTAAACTGGATGCTGATAGATGGGCGTATTGCACTGATAGCCTTGATAGAAATGATGTACATTCTGGTTTTGTTATTCAGCTGCAATCACTGTGAATTTGATTCATTGTGCTGTAACAGTGGTTGCATTTTGTATATGGCTAGATCATCTGAAGGTTACTGGCTGCTCCACTTCTCATTCTCAGCTTTCTGGATATCCTTTCAAATATCTCCAGAATCACAGAGCTGTAGGGGTTAGAAGGGACCTCAGGAGATCATTTACTCCAGCTCTCCTGCTAAGAGGCTCCCTAGAGCAGGTTGCACAGGAAAATGTCCAGGAGGGTTTTGAATATCTTAAGAGGAGACTCTACAACTGCTCTGGGCAGCCTGTCCCAGTGCTCTGTAACCCTTGAAGTAAAGTTTTTCCTTGTTTGTGTGAAGTTTTTTACATTCTGGTTTGTGCCAATTTCTTCCTTGTTCTGTCCCTGGGCACCACGAAAAAACAACATGGCTCCAGCCTCTTAATACTCTCTTTAGATATGTATAAGTCTTGGTAAGATCCCTGCTCATTTTCTACTTCTTCTCTATGGGTAGGCAGAGTACGTGTAGCTTGGGAATTCTATTACCTTCTCTTAACACACTGATTCCAGGGGAACCTCATGTTTAAATCCACAACAACTTAAGTTTCACCTGGGTGTAATAAATATATATATTTATTGTATATACATGCATACACTTGGGTTTAGAATGAACTGCACTGTTTATTTCTTGAGACATGTCAGCATTGCCTAGTAGAAAATAACTTTTTTCCATGCTGAAATGAGGGGAATGTGATTAATGACTTCATTATTTCAGATGGGCATGCTTGTTAGGCCATAAGGTATTTTTTTCCTCCATAGCTATTTTTCATCATCTTTATATTTTTCTAAGAAGGTGTCTGTGTGGTAAATTACCTCGCAGCTGAAACTGCCAACTGAATAATTGAAGATTCTTCTTCTAGTGCTTAGTTGTTTTGTTTTGTTTTTTTTTTTCCCCAAGTCTCTCTCCTGATTTTAGCTTTGCTTAAATTTTGACTAGAACTAAACAATGTTACATTGTGGCATCTCAAAACCTCTGGATTTAAAATCTTCTAATACTTAAAAAAAGTTTAGTAGAATAAGTGGTGTGCTAGCTACTGTCACACTTGGTTAACCTGTACTCCCAAAAGATGGAATCTTCAGTGGGAAAAAAGCTCCTAACAGAACAGTAAACTACACCTCTGTAGTAAGATGGTGGTCCTGAACATCTCTGAAAATGAAATGCTTTCCTTTTGCTAGCTTGATGCTATCTGGCAGTCTAGGCAAAAGTTAAATGACACTTTGCTAACTTAGAGCATGTTTTGCAGCTGGAGAAGAAATATTAATGAAAGGGCTTTCTGGTGTCCGACATAATGCTTGGCACACGCTTACTCTCAACATCCAGGTAAGAGCATGGTCAAGAAGCTGGAAAATCTGCTATGAAAATTCCATTCCTAAATGGTTTAGACAAAAACATGCTATTTTAATGTTTGCATGAGGTGATCCTGCATAAAACATTGATATATATTTTAATATAAACGAAGACTAAAATACCACTCATTCTATTTCCTGTATTTTTGAAGAGATCTTGAGAAAATGGAGAGGGTATAGAAAGTAACTGGGAAAGAATGATTATGACCTGGCTACCTGTTCTGAAGATTCTTGGTGAACTACTTAACTGTTTTATAAATCTGACTCCAATTATCTTTGCATGTTAAGGCCCTGTGTATGATGCCTCTTAAGGACTTGGAACTAGGGAACTTGAATGAACTGCCATTTTTCTTTCCTGTGCTGAGAAAGCGTGGGCATTGTTTTGATGTGAAAAATGGCCCATTGCTGATTAGAAGCCTACTCAGAGTGTGGGATCTTTGTGTGGTGTTTCTGCATTTTTTATCATAGTGAGAAGAGTGGTACCAAACTTTAAATATACCTGTGCAATTTATCTGGACATGACATTGTTGCAACTAAAGGGCTTTGAATTCCTCAGCTGGGTGCCTAACCCCCTTGGCTAATACAACCTTTGCAACTGCAAGAGATCTAAAATAATTGGGAAGCTTAAATCCCCTCTGAAGATATCTTGTACTGTAACGAACTCTGTAAAATTCTGTGCTAAGTCTCTAACAGATAAACTGTCTATGAACATTAGAAGCTGTTTGGCTTGGTGTTTTTTTGGCTTTTTCTGCTTTTGTATTGATAGACAAAGGAATGCTTTTATCTGAGGCATTCACAAATGTTTGTATAGCCACACTTACGACAGTAATTGCTATCTGTAAAATGAAGTTTGAGACTTGCTAGCCTGAACAGAGTACTAAAAATGAGTGTAAATTATCTAAAACAGAAAACAATGATGTTGGTCTTCAAATCATGATGCTATAGAGTTGCATGTACCAAAAATGCCTTTGATGTAATAAAAGAATTGTAGAGGAGGTTTTTTGAAAGACAGTCTGTTTTTACATATATTTGTAATTTTTATAGATTCAGTACAGGTAAACTAGAATGTTCCCCCCCTTCAATTTAATATTGGCAAGATAAATTTTAACTGTTCTGAACATTAATGGTAACAATCTACTTAAAAGTTCCTAAATCCCTTTCTCTCCTTGGTTTGATGACTAAAATACATAACCCTTTTATTTTGACCTGTGTCTAATTGTGCAGAATTAATGCCAGGTGTGTCATGTAATAGAACTGTTTGTAGTTCCAGGTAGTTCTAGTTTTGTTAAACACCTCAAAACAGGTGAGCATTTGAAGGAATATGATACAGATGCAAGAGGAAAAACAGTTTACCTTTGAGATTCTGCACTGAGTTTGCAAGCTGAGAGTTTGGGAAAGATAAACCTTTTATATGCACTATATAAAAGCCTGTTAGATCTGTTTCATAGAGTTGATAGGCACTGGACGAGCAATATTTAGAAGTGCCTCTGCATGGAAAGCATGTGAAGTGTAGTTGAAAATTCACTGGACATCTTTTTGACTTGCCTTGTCTGCCATACAGATTGTCTTGGTGTGAATACACTTGATCACTGGATTTCACAAAACAAACTCTTTCCCTTTTTTCTGCCAGGGCACTTCTGCCTCAGGACTGTTAAATGGTTATCCGCTCTGGGAGAACGTCACCATTTCTCAACCAAGTAATGGCTGGGCTGCTATTGGGACTCGCTCGTTTGAGTTTGCACAGTTTGACAACTTCCATGTTGAAGCTAGATGAGGTAGCTTTTGCATTTGGAGAACGTCATCATACTTTGAAGAAGAGTCAGCTCAAACTTTGGGGACAGCTTAACACTGACACTGATCTGTTGGCAAAGAATCTGAATTCTCACCCTGTTATTTTATAAAGCTTTACATTGCTCATTACCAGTGTAAGTTTCATCCCCTGGTTGCTATGGAATTTTTACTCTTAGAATTCTGGGGGTAAATTTTAGTTCAAGGTAACGATGAAAACAAAATCATAGATCCTTTTATTCAAAAATGATCAGATCTTAACTTCCTATCTCATTTTCAAGCCAAATTTGAAAGTTAACAGAAGATAAGGGCCTCTCAAGATGCTTTTTTTTTTTTTTTTTTTTTTAACACTAACATGACTGTGTCCATTTCTTTCACTGTAAGAATTAAATACCAATAAGCCTAATGATCTAGTGGCCCCATGCAGCTATACTATAATTACTTTCAGATTTCATTTGGATGAAGAACCTATTTTTTCCTGTATTAAGAAAAACAATGTTTTGTCTATTTATGCTACAGTCAGTCTCAACATTACAATGCTAAAGGTGTGTTTGATTACAACTTCCAACTTTTATCTCTAGCCTTAAAAATATTTCTTTTGAGCAGAAGGGAAATCTCTTATGGGTGATTAGGCAATGCAGGATGTGCCTTAAGTTTCAACTACCTCCTTTTTTTTTTTTTTTTAAAAAAAAAAAAAGGTTGAAATAGATTAAAAGGTTAATAATCAATTAATTATTGATAGCCGTTATGGAATGATTTTTTTTTTTTTTTTTTTTTTTTTTTTGTTTTTTTTTTTTTTTTGTGGTTTATTTTTGTTTTGCATTGTACAAGAATAAAAACTGGGTCTTGGGTACTTAATTTATGCCAGGCTAAATGTGGAAAAACTGTCTTTTAGAAGCTTGAGCATCCATCTCTCATTTGTGATGGATCTAAAACTTTGAGCAGAAACTGAAGTATATGAAAATGTTACTCAGATGGTTGTTTTTGTAGCACAGAGAAGGTATGGGTACTATCATGTCCTTGCATAAAAGGAAATGAAAAAAATATATATTTTAAGGCCTTGCAGTCTAATCATAAGGTGACAGCAGATGGATACAGATGGAATTGATTGGTTTATCAGGCTGCACTACTGTCCAACAGTATCCCTACTCCTAGGCTGCATGAAGTTCAGATTGAATTCTGAATCCTTCAGAAAAGAGGGATTCTCTTTTGTTGCTACTTCACTGTTTTTTGAAGTTACTGTGCTATCAAAAAAAATCATCCAGATTGTAGTGAGATAGCAAATGCTGTCTTCGTGAGTTGGCTTCTGAATTTTTCTGTTGGTCATTTTTGAATGAAAATGATGTCTATTCCATAACAAAATGTATCCCATGTCTGCATCCTTTTTTTAACTGGCGAACAAGAAGTTCTGGAGGTGTGACGGGGCACTAATATTTGTATGAGGCTCTCTGTAGCATGCAGTATCTCATCTTTGAGAAACAGATTTGCAATATACTTCAACTTATACTAAATATTACTCTGATCCATTTTATTTTGAAAGCTAATTTCAGTGAGCATTGACTTTGCTCTTTGATATTTTCAGCTAAGGTAGAGTTAATGCAACACAAATTATTACTAGACTTTTTTTAAGAAGGTTATCTTCCAAGTCAAGTTTTGGAGAGATCTCAATTTCCTAAGTACAGATGAGTGTTTTATTTCTTTCAACAATTACCACTGATACCACTATTAATTGGTTATGAATCATTCATAAGTGCAGATTTCACACAAGCAGTAACCTTGAAGAATGATCTAAATGACTAAACTTTAAAACTCTTGTAGAGGATTTTCAAGTATTAACTGTTTATTTAACTGGGTAAAAAATGAAAGCCAGCTTTCCAGTTGAGTTGCATTTTGATAGTCACAGTGTGGGTGCAAATCTGTTCATTATTTGCTTGATTTCAGAAGGGATGTCACTGGGATCCAGATGTGAAGGAATTTAACTTAAGGTCCTTATATTCAAGTAATATGAATACAGAAGAATGAGTTCTCAGAATAAACTTGTTTCAGCTGTGATGATTTTTCCTAGTAGCACGTTTCTTAAAGAGTTCATGTTAGCTTGTGTGGACTGCAAGCAGTTTCGTATAAGAGAGATTAGCAAAGATGCAGTTTATCCAAAGGAGTTGTCCAGTTGGTCTTTTTTACTACCCTTTAATGCACTAATGTAATAAACTACTGTCATATTGTGTACTAAGCACAATGTATTTTGTCACTGAAAATATTGATTATTTTTTCTAATCTTAACTTATTAACGTTAGAGGATTAAACTGTTTTATGAAGAGAAAAGGGATCTAATAGTGATATAATGTTGTTCACTCATATGTGTAATTCTTCACCCTTCAGCAGGCTGTAATATCCTTGCCAGTAACAAGCTGTCAGGTCTTTCACTGAGGGGTGGATTTATGTTGTTGATTATAAATACTAATCATTTCAAATGGACAAATAAAGCATTTAAAACCCCTTTATTTGTGGTGACTGCTTTTGTTAATGGATCATGATGTCCTCCAGCAAGAAAGCTGCCAGTTTTTATCATTGTGATTCCTAGTAAAGATGATTGCCCCTATGTTAACTGGATTGGAACAATTTTTCAAATGCCAAACAATCCTCGTTAACAAATATCATAGAATCAGGACTTTTGTTGTTGATATGAACATTATTTATAGTGCTCAGTATACATTCTGCTTCTCTTTATTATGATGGTTTTTGTGTATGTGTTTTTTCTTTTTTTTTTCCCTTTGCATTTATTTAAAGGGATTAAACTGTACTTAAGGGTCATTTGTACAAAACTGCTGAGTACTGAAGTCTTGTGAGCTCAAGCTGACAGTCTTTTTACAAGTGTGGAAGCAGGTAGTGCAATTCAGGTATATACTAAAGTTTACATGAGAATTTTTTTTTTTTTTTTTTTTTTTTTTTTTTTTTTAAATTTATTAAATTTTTGGGGGTTGGTTATTTTTTTTTTATTTTTTTTTTAAACCAAACCCAA